AATGAGAATTATAGACCCCATATTATTAATAATTTTTTGAGTAATTTAAAAAATTATAAAGTTTTAGTCAAATTCGGTGCAAATTTGGCCTGAATACAGATTAAGAGATACATTTTCCATTTTACTAACTTATTATTCTATTTTAGAATTCTACCAGTTTTGCTTCCACTTTTCTACTAGCGATTGTTCTTAAATTATTACTAGTAGATTTCTTTTCTATTTGTCTAGTTTTAGATATTGTTACATTGCTAACAATACTTTTTTTCTTCTTCCTCAACACAAAACTTTCCAACTTGTTATTTTATTCCTGCTATTCTGAAACCTTATTGTCACTACTTTAATTTATACTCAATTTGGTTATATCTGATTGTTAGGTTGTTTGAGACCATTATGCATGTTTCATTTAATTTTGGTTCGATCACAAATGCATGCATCAATTGAAATAAAAGAACACAATCACTGATTGTACAATATTAGGCTACGATTTCTTGATTACACTCGATTTTACACATAACAATACCAAGCATAAGCAAAATAGTACTATTCAAACTTGCTAGATAATCTTATGCTATTTTATAACCAGAATATTTATATAATTATACTAATTTAATAAGAGTTAGCAGAAATTTAGGTTTTATTTATTTTATCCAAAGAATACAATGCAAATAACTTTATAAAAAATAATAGCATTAACTTTATCAGAAAGCTAATCAAACTTAATTATAGATATTAATTTGAATAAGAAACAAAAACCTTATTATTGCAAAAATTTTTTTTTTGCTTAATAAAAAAGACTAATGCTGATGCTAATATTAATACTTTAGGTTTAAAAATAATTGAAATTACTTTTAACTTGTTATTTTATAATTATAACAAAATAGGAATAATTTTAATTAATAATCACACTTCTTGAAAAAATAATGAATATCCTTTTATAATTACATTAATTATTTATTGAAACATTTAAACCGATTTACATTATCAAGCAATTAATTTATATATAATGCAAATGTGTTAAGCGAAACAATACTTCTTCAAGTTCATTAAATATTATAATTAATAATATGAAAAAACAAACCTATACGATATCGTTTAACAGAATTTATAAAAGTTTTGAAAGAAAAGTCTAATGAATATAATTGTTTTGCTATTTGTAATGCATGCAAAGAAGCAAGAGGTTATGATTATGGATATTTGAATAAATTCGTTAATACAAAGAGGCTAGTCAAGACACATTTAAAAAATTGTATTTATTTCAAAAATAAAAAAGGAGAAGATGAAGCTAAAAGAATATTAGATGAGACAAACAGTGAAAAATTAAAAAATAATCAAAAAAAGTGTCAACGTGAATATAAATATATAATGCTAAATTTTCTATTGAGTCAGTCTAAACCATTATAGAGCTTCAGAACTTTTAATCAAATATCAATTTTTTAATTTAGAAAATTGTCCTCAAAGCCCTATAATAGTAGTGACCAATTCTATCATAAATTTATTATTAATTAATATCAATAATACATATTTATATATAGATGATACTAATGAAGAATTCAGTAATAAATTAGATAAAAATAGTAATATGAAAGTTGAGCAAGAATATAAAGGACCATTAGATCTTCATGTAATATATGAGCTTTTCAAATCTGGACAATCAAGATTTAGTTATTTACTTTTAAAGATGACAGTATCAAATGGATGGAGTTTTAGATAGGTTGAAAATCCAGATTTACTAGCCCTTTTCAAGTTTCTTAGTCCAAAGATTACTCTTCCTACTCGTAAGCAATTAAGCGGAAAAATTTTAAACAAAGTCATTACTGAATTTACATCAAAAATTGAAGAACTGCTAAAAAAGATAAAGTCGATATCACTGTAACACTAGATGGTTGGACAAATGTGATTAATCAAAATTTATTGGGAAGTATTCTAATTACTTCTTCCAGTAAACTCCTAATATGGAAAGCTCAAGATGTTAGTAGTGAATGGGCATGTGCTAAAGATGTTATTTTAAAAATTGAAGTGTTGTTCAGTAATTTAGAATCTAAGAAAATTAAAGTTATAGCATTGGTGACAGATAGTGCTGCAGCATATACTTCAGCTAGGTAATTTTTTTTAATATTTCAAATTGAGAAATTTAGTAGTATAATCCTCTAGTCACTATATCAAGATTATGAAAGAATTAATTAATAATATCCTGACTATATGTGAATATACAAAACTTCATTTTCACTAATTCCTAACAGATCAGGATATTATTATTACTAATTTTGCTTTTTTACTTGCTTAGCATAAAAGCAGGGTCATAAATTAATAAATAAGCTTACTAGTTTTTATTTTTTATATTATGGTTATAGAAAGCAGTTGCAAATGAAGTATAAAGAAAATTTTTTTGCTATTCTTCACTCATCAACCAAATTTATATGTTGGTGAGATTTTTAAAGAATCACTGGCATTTAAAAAAGCTATTAATAATGCAACTACTGTGACAACATATTTTAGAAATGCTAGTCATATATATTTTATTGGAAAGTTATGAGATTAACAAGAAATTTTATATCATAAATATGTAACTCTTATTAAGCCAACTATAACATGGTGAAATTTCTACTTTTATTGTTTAGAAAGTCTCTTGAAAACTAAAGAAATGCTTAAAGTAATTAACTTATTTAAGTATATATTACTACATATATATTTATTAACTATATAATTATTTAATATTTTTTGATACTGGTTACTAGATATGAACCATGTGATGATGAGTCAAATGATGAATCTTCTGATTTTCAAAGTTTAGACCTGGTATTACTAAATAAAATATGCAATATTATTAATGATGATAATTGGTGGCGACAGATAAAAACTTTAAAGTCTTTATTATTACCTTATTGTATTTGTCTTAATTTATTACAATGTGACAAAGCATGACTTTTTAAAATATTACATTCATTCAGTTATTTGGCTCAAATAATTAAAGAATATCATGATATTTATCTTAGTCAGCAACTTATGAATCAATTAGAAAAATGATGAAATTCTTGGGAACAACCACTATTAATATTATCTTTTGTTTTTCACCCATTGTATCAAATAGAAAAATTCAATTCAGAATTAGAAAATTTAACATGGGTTGATATAGGTGAATATATCCAATACTATTATTCTAAATGATCTAGTTAACCACCAAAATCAATTTTATGGGAACTTAAGCTTTATCGTCAAAAAAAATCACCATTTAATACTACATTGTCAAGACAATTTGGTAATGATGTAATTTGGTATTAGAGTTATTATGCAATACGTGCTAATGAATTAGGTTATATGGCATTACGAATTCATGGAATTTGTATAAATTCAGCCTCTATAGAATGTTTTTGGTCTTCAATAGGATTTATTCATTCTAAATGATATAACAGATTGCTGGTAAATAATATACTTTTATTAATATTAATTACATTATAATTTTATAAGCATTATAATTAATTGTATTATAGTTTCAAAAAGTATTAGCTATTAGCCAATTATGTGGAATTTTTGCTCAAGACTATAAAGTTCAAGAATTAGACGAACTCAAAAAACTTTATGAATCAACTTCAACGATATCTTTGCTAAACTATACTAATGTTGAAAGTGATTATACTAAAACTGATATTGACGATGAAAGTGATAATATTACAGTATGGTCATCAATTTCAGACAATGATGATTCAAATGAAAATAATTGTAAGTACAGAATTAAATGAAATAAATAAATTACCAAATAATTAAGAACGTCCAGTAGATCAAAAGGCTAAGTGGCCATTAGATAGTTTGTTTTTAGCTGATTTAGATGCACCATTTTTTGTGACTTTTTAGCTTTTTAGTGATAAGTAACTTAATGAAATTATATTTTTTAAAATCAAAACTTTGATTAGTTTTTTTGTCTTTTTTTAAAAAAATATTTTTTAAAAAAAAAACATTTTTAAAAAAATATTTTTTAAAAAAACTTTTTTAAAAAAAAATCATAACTTTAACTTATTTGAAAATTAGTAATTTGATGCCGATTATTTATTCAAACTGGTTTATTTTCAAGACTAATAAGCATCTGGTACTACACTATAATTTTTTTTATTTTCTTACTATTGTTATTTTTTATGCTTACAAGATCTGAGAAAACTAGTATTTTATAAATTGGGGTGAAATTAACTCTAAGAAAGTGTTTAAAATTTAAGTTTAATAAAAGTACATAAATTTGTTTTCAGCATTTTTATATATATATTTATACTCAAAATATAATTTGAAGTATTAGATTACTTTGTACAATTAAAGAGCTATGTTAAGCAAATAAAATCTTTTTTAATCTATTATTGATAAAGTAATTTATTAATCCGTAATTATTCTGAAAATAATTTCAATAATTCTTTGATTTTGTGACTCTACTTTTAAATATTTAGTCTCCAAATTAGATATTCAAAACTCTAAATAAGATTAAATTCATAGGAGGTTTTAGAATTAACAATTTGACATCTAATTTCAGATAATTATTTATTTTAAAATAAATGGTCTATATATTTTTTTTTTTAAATTAATACTTACTATAAATTCTTGAAAAAATGGGCATAGGCATTATTTCAAAAATTGAACCCCTAAAAATAGCATATGTGGATTCAAGATAATGCCTATACGTGTTCTGAAATAATGTTCATCTCATTATAATGTATTTTGAAGAAAAATCAGGTTCAAAAATAGGAATATTGAAAGTTTGTCCTGTTGATTCAGATCTAGTACTTAAAAATTCCAGGTCTAACCAACAAGAGGAACCATCGATGTTATATGACTAATTCTTCACCCGATGTGCAACATATAAAAAATTATTTTACAATACCAAATCATTCTGCTAGTACATATTATGATTATAATCACATACCATTTATATTATAATAAAAATAGTGTAGAATTATTTATAATCATAATATGTACTAGCGGTATTGTAAAATAATTTTTTTTTATGTTGCACACTGGGTGAAGGATCAGTCATATAATATCGATGGTTCCTTCTATTGGTCTAATCCAGTAGTTTAATATACTATGTAGATAATTTTAAAGGCAGAATTCTAAAAATACTGTTCATATTTCACTTTTATTAAATTTTATTTGACTCATTTCAGACCATTCTAAAAAGTCTGATCCCAGACCCAGTTCTTTGTGAATTACTTAATATTTCAATTCAGAAGATCAGTCTATATAATCAAAATAACTCCCATGGGTATGTTCAAAATAGTGCGCAAGTATTTTAAATAATGCGCAGATACCTGTTATTTGAAAATTTATGGTATTGCATAATTACTACTAGTAGATATTTATCAAAAAAAGCTAATTGATTCAAATTATTTTGAATATCTACTTATTTTTTAAATAAAATTGTTTATAATAGAAGCTGAATTATTAAAACCTATTTTTGATATATTTTAAATTTTAATTAATAATCTTTTTACAAATAAATTAAATTACCTTATATGTAGATAAATTTAATTAATAGATATTTGAGTGCTGCCAAGCAAATTTGTAATTTTTATTTGATAATGAATTAAAAATTTTCTCTTTGCAGTACTATTATTCGATACAAAGGATTAATACTGTATAGACAAAAATTTTTAATAAGAATATTATGATTATCAAAATTAAATAAATGATTTATAAATATTATACAGCTTCACGATTAAGTTTATAAGTAATTTATAGCTATGAAAAGCAATTGGCCAATTAAATACAATGATAATTTATAATTATTATATAAGTGCTACTAAGGGAAAAAGCACCATGAAGTTTCAATTATATTTTATACTAGACATGATCTATCTAATTTATTAAGGATTGTGTTTGGTACAAACTATAATTAAAACTCTATAGTATCTTTTTTCGTGGCAACACTTATATAGTTTTGTATATAGTTGTATAAGTGATTCACAAGTGAATTATAGCTACATAAAGCAATTAACTAATTATTTTAAAAATAAAATATAAATTATTGGACATATTGGACCTGGACTATATTCAAGTATATATCCAATGTCCATGTCCAGTCCTATAGAACTAAAAATAAGTGGACATATTTCCAATGCCAACTATGATAGAAACTGTATTTAGAATTGGTATTTTCTAAATTTAATTTAATAATTTAAAATTGACTTGCTAGTTGTAATATATGCATAGATATAGTATAAATAGAAAGAAGGTATTGCAAAAGTAATAAATATGAAGACAGCAATTACAGTTGATGCATCTATTTTTTATCTGATTCAATATTTTCTACAGTCATATGGATATTAACTGGTGATATAAGTCCATAACCTGTAATGATTCTTGCTTGTCTGGAGGAATGTAGTTCGGTGATGAGATTAATTCCTGCAGGAGGA